GGGGGGGGGGGGCAGATCCAGAAACTCTGATGGGATTTGAGCAGAGCGAGGATGGGTTAAACATACTCCAAGTGTGGTCCTCAGGCCAGGAAATCAACGGTGGTGTCTAAGACCCACTTAAGAATGCTGATTCCTGGGCCCGCTCCAGACCTGCTGATTTACAAAGCACAGAAACCCACTTGGATGAGCTCAGGGAAGCTGGAGGGCAGGGATGGGAAGGAAGGGGCACAGCCACCCCCAGGCAGCATCCCCCGCCCTCCCCCAACTGCATTCTCGGACCCTCTCTGCCTCCCACCTCCCCCTACTCCAAGGCCTTGACTTGACCCTGGCTCCCCTGCATCCCCGCTCTGCACACATACCCCCAAGGGAGCATCCGGGTCTCTCAGTGTAGACTCCCCAAGAGCACAGGACTGGCTGGCTCCGTACCCTAACCGCAGAACCGCCCGGCCCGCGGCGGAGGGGGCTCTGCAGGGGTGACCACCCTCCCTTGGCCCAGGTGCAGGCGGAGCTGCGGCGGAAGTGGCGGCGCTGGAACCTACAGGGCGTCTTGGGCCTGGGCCCCAAATACCAGCACCCGTCCGGAGGCAGCAACGGGGTGACCTGCAACACGCAGGTCTCCATGCTGACCCGCGTCAGCCCCGGCGCGCGCCGCTCCTCCAGCTTCCAGGCCGAAGACTCCCTGGTCTGACCGCCAGGGGCCCAGGAGTGCCCCACCCGCCCTTTCCCGTGGCGCTGGGGACAGAGGCCAGCCCCAGCCCTGGGCTCCGAGGCTACCCTGGCCCCCAGGCCACTGTCCCGAAGGCCCTGGAGAGCGCGCTCTTGCACCTGCCTGGGGAGAGGGGCGAGCCCTCAGGCTGCACCTGGGGGGTGGGGGCGGGGCTCAGCCATCGGACTCCTCCCCCAAAGCCCCCCTGCCAATCACTGGCAAGAAATTTGCATATTCTCAAGTGACTCCGCCCCCTCTCCAGACCTATGGAGGAAGGAAGGCACCCCTCGAAATTCCTTGGGGACTTGGTTGACAAAGGTCTTGGCCCTGAAAGGTCACCTGGTACCACCACCTCGACAGTGCCTGAAGTTCCAACCTGGCGGGCAAGTTCCTCTGGGTTAAGCATTGCCAGTTATGCATCTCTCTGAAGATGGGGTCCCCTCCCCTAGTGTCCTCCTCTGGTGGGATGTGGAGTTCTAGTTTGGGGAGCACAGCTGTCTTCAGAGGCCCTGCTGAAGTGGAACAGTCCCAGGAGGTTTGGAACAATTCGAGGAGCCTGCCACCAGCCCTACCCATCCCTATGAGCTGAGGGAGCTGCCCTCGGCTGCCCACCTGTATGCCAACTGTGAGAACCAGGCTCGGAGAATCCACCCAGCAAGGTGGGAGCTACTGTCCCTCTCCCACAGATCCGGAAGCTGAGTCTCACAGAGCTGGTATCTGGCCTCGCCGCACAGCAGGATTTGAACTCAGATCTAGCTGACGGGAAAGTGGAAGCACAGACTTTTTACTGCTGCCTTTTATATCTTGTAATACCCTGGATCCTGGTGGTTATTTGTATCGCCACTCATTGTTATTACCACCATCCCTGCAAGCCCTACCCCATTCCCACCCGACCCTCCCCAGAGTGTGGCTGAGGAGTCCTCTGGCCCATGGGTCATCTAGACAAGAGCCTGGTGGTCATGGCATTGTGTGTCTGCTCTGCACCCCTCTGGTCACATGGCTTCCTGCCCACGCCCCAGCCAGAAGATCTACCCTTGTGCAACAATAAATGTTGTGCTGGATTGGCTTGGTTTCCCTGCTGGTCTATGTCCCTGCGTGGCCTAAAATGGGGACTAGCTTCCAACCTGCTGCCATCTCCCCCCATTCGGAGGAGGGGTGCACTGAAGCCAGAAGCTGGCACCCTCTGCCTTTGGGCAGGAATACATTCCATGTGAGAAGCACACCGTTCTAAGGGTCTTCACCTGACATCTCACTGAGGGGTTTCCTCTCTCTTCTGAGTGTGAGGAAGTTATACTAGGTCCTCACTGTGTCCCCGCACCCCCTAAATCCAGCCAAAAAAGTTCTATTCTTGGATCAATACAAAACAGCCAACAGAGCTGCCCTCCGTCCCAGAAATGGTTAAATGTGAGCATTTCACAGGTCGCAGTCATTCCCACAGGCGAGGAGCCCAGAGGATATGTTGAGATGACATGTTGCCATTGCCAGGGTCCAGCCCAGAAGAGAAAGACAGAGGACAGAACAAATGTCACCAAAACAGGTGAATGAGCAGAAACAATGCCACTAATAGAAAAGTTTAGACTGGAGGCATTAGGGTGAAGTGGATGATGCCAGTCAGCAAGAGATGGCCCCAGCCCGGCCAGTGTTTCTCAGCGGTTGAGCGTCGACCCATAAACCAGGAGATCAAAGTTCAATTCCCGGTCAGGGCTCATGCCCAGGTTGCAGCCTCGATCCCCAGTAGGGGGCGTGCAGGAGGCAGCCGGTCAACGACTCTGACACCATTGACCTTTCTGTCTCTCTCTCCCTTTCCCTTCCTCTCTCTGAAATCAATAAAGATATATATTTAAAAAGAAAAACGATATCTCTAACNCGCAGTCATTCCCACAGGCGAGGAGCCCAGAGGATATGTTGAGATGACATGTTGCCATTGCCAGGGTCCAGCCCAGAAGAGAAAGACAGAGGACAGAACAAATGTCACCAAAACAGGTGAATGAGCAGAAACAATGCCACTAATAGAAAAGTTTAGACTGGAGGCATTAGGGTGAAGTGGATGATGCCAGTCAGCAAGAGATGGCCCCAGCCCGGCCAGTGTTTCTCAGCGGTTGAGCGTCGACCCATAAACCAGGAGATCAAAGTTCAATTCCCGGTCAGGGCTCATGCCCAGGTTGCAGCCTCGATCCCCAGTAGGGGGCGTGCAGGAGGCAGCCGGTCAACGACTCTGTCACCATTGACCTTTCTGTCTCTCTCTCCCTTTCCCTTCCTCTCTCTGAAATCAATAAAGATATATATTTAAAAAGAAAAACGATATCTCTAACTGATCTCCTTGGCTTCCTTCCACTTTCTAAACCTCACAAGGAGGTTGTCTTGCTGCAGGAGCAGGAGAGGAATATCGAGCTGGTAAAAAGAGGCCACAATGGGCTAGCAAAGGCTCAGATCTGCCTGCAAGGCTCCTTCAAAGCCCTGGGCTACTCAATACCATCCCAGGACCCATTAAGGGCAGCCCCAGCCCAGCACCCGGCAGCCCAGAGGCCCGAGTCAGAGGCCCGAGTCAGGGGTGGGTGAGGCCAGGATAAGAGTGCCTGTGAGCCTAGAGCAGGAGCATCCCCAGGCAAATACCCTCTGATCCGTGGTCCAGCCTGCCCAGGAGTGGCAAACCCTCTCCGTCTAGATCCAGGCTCCATGCCGGCCCTGTGCATGCCAGCTGTGGGACAGAGAAGGAGGCAGTTCCCCTAGCTTTGACCTCAGGCACTCCCTGGCCTATGGGAGGAGAGAGAATTCTCAGCATCCTCTCTCCCCTCCCCCTGCCTAGGCCAAAGCAGTGACCACCAATGAGGTGTGGGTCCGGGAGAGCTGGGCTAGAGCGATCCAGACACCTGGGACTTGTTCCATTCTTCTCTGAGAGCTCACATCCCTGTACTCCAAGGCCCTGCGGATGCGAGACAGGGAACAGGTGGTATGTCCATGCTCCTCTCACCCAGCTGGGGTATGTCACTCACTCTCTCTGGTTTCCTTCCTTCCCTACTTGGGGACTCCCTGAACTGGCTCCAGGGACCTTGTCCACCAACATACTGCTCAGTAGGGCCCAGAAGACCTAGCCCTAGTCTTTTAGTCCTGATTCTATGTCAGGCTTTCTCAGACATCATGAGCAGGTATCTGCCCCTCTCTGGGCCTCAGTTTCTCCACCTGCACAATAGGGGCAGGTGCTGGATGGCTTAGCTTAGTTCCTGGCTAAGGCTTGAGTGACTAATGAGCAGGAGGCTGCCCAGAGCCCTCTGCCACCAGCTCTGTCCTCTGGGCTCACAGGAAAGAGAGCAGCTGGAGGGGGAGCTCCAAGCATCTAAGGGCCGAGGGGTACCCAGAAGATGAAGGCTGTGCAGAGTATGAGCTCAGAGAACTGAGGGATGAGCTCAGGCTGGTAGAAGAGGGGGAGGGAAACAGGAATGGGAGGAGCCAACAGATCCTAGGAGCAAAGTGTTTACATAGGGCACCCCGCCTTCCAGATCAGGAACCCCAAGGGCTGCCTGAGGAGTGTAAATACCAGGAGGGGCCCCCAGACTAAGCTGAACCCAGCCTATCCAGGGCTTGAAATCCTCCACTAGTGAGTCATGGCTTTAGGGTAAGGAGAGAGCCCTGAGGAGAGGAGCAGAGTGATCAGCCAGGAGGGTGGAAAGTGAATGAAACACAGAGACCCAAGACGGGGCAAAAAAGAGGGGGCAATAGGTGGGGTCCTGCCCTGAGAGGTGGCAGCAGGTGAGAGGCGCAGGGGTGGGCATTTAGGAATCGTCTGGCAGAGGCTATAGGCAGACACCCAAGCTGCCTGTGAAGTAGGGGTGGAGTGGGGCTGACCACAAAAAGAATCTCTCCTGTACCCCCTCTTCCCTTCAGCTCAAGGACCCCCTCCAGCCTGGCAGGGCATTTGTCAGGGGAGACCAGTTCATCTCTATCGCCACCTGGTGGGTACCTCAAGGACTTCACCAAGGTTGGCCTTAGGGCCCCAAACGCCAGGGAGGCCCAATGACACCAAGGGCAGGTCTCTTTCTCCTCAGCTCCACTTCAGAGTGAGATAGAAGAGGGGAGAGATGGTGAGGCCACAGGCTGGTGACCCCAGTGATCAAGGGGACCCAGAGACTGGCCCTCAGACCCAGGTCCCAGACCACTTGGCACACAGTGACCCTGCCCCAGACCCAGCTTGGACCCCAGGTACATCCGGGCCTCTGGTTCACCACAGGCTAGATCCTTGCCCTTGACCAAACTCTGACCCCAGGCCTTGTGGAAAAAGGCCAGTTAACTCAAGTGGTCACCTCCTGGGAAGACAAGGGCAAGAAGCCTCCCACCATCCTGGCGCAGAGGTCCATCTTCACCTCCATGGCAGAGAGCAACATGGATGGTTCCTGCCATTCCGGGGCACAGGCTGACCAAGGAGGGAGGCCAGTCTGCCAGCAGAATGGATTGGGAGCAGCTTCCCAGGTGAGGAGGCGACACTGGGGTAATCTCTGAGGGCTGGTAGGGGTTTCTGGGTCGCAAGGGAGCATGTTGGGATACCTGAATCCAGGTGCCAGGGCCCTTTGCAGCAGGAACCCAGTGGAGTCTTCTTCAACGAGGCCAAGAGGATGAGGGTGTGTTTGGGGCAGGCCTGGGAAAAGTTGCCAGCCCATGATCCAGGTGAGGAAGGAGGGGGTAGGGGTGGGAGGTTGGGAAGATGATGATCTGGTGGTTTGGGACACACCGAATGTAATGTCTGTAGGACATCTGGGGAGAAGTCCCAAGGCTGTTGGAATCAGGATCTAAACCAACAGGGCCCAGGCAGGGGTGAGGAGACCAGGGCAGCCCCCTTGGGGGAGGGGTGCATAGGGAGTCTGTCCCCAGGCACCTCCATCTGGTGTGATGGGCCAGGGTAGGGTGAGGGTGGTTAGGTGCACCCCCCCCATTCCCACCACTCACCCAGGGCCTGTTTTAATGAGCAGTGACCCTGCTTCCCCCTACGTGGGAACAGGAACTGCTCTTATCTCTCCAGGGGGAGGGGGCCGGAGCCACAGCTGGCAGTCATTAAACACCCTGATCAGAACAGGGGTGGCTGAGATATTAATAGCCAGGAGTCAATGGCCCTGGAGACACAGCCTCCCAGGAATGGGGACAGTAACCTCAGCAGGCCATGGGGATGGGGAGGACGAGTCATCCTGGCAATGCCCCAGCCCCCGTGCAGCACGGATGGGGTAACCCAAGTCCAGAGAGAAGGGGAGGGACTTGCTTGGGATCACCAGCAAGTGATTGGCAGAGTCCGGCCTTGAGTTCAGTTCCCCAAACCCCAGAGCCCTGCTTTGGTATGTGGACAGTCACAGGTGAGGGTCATTGGGTGTGGCCTGTGTGGACGCACACATAGAGCAGACCTAGTTGGCAACACTGATTCTTTAGTCTCTTTATTTAAAAACCTTGATATTTTGTTAATTGTGTATTTGTGCATTTGTTTTGATTTTTTAAATATAATTTACCCTGATACTGAGTTCTGTGCCACCTCCTTAAATTGTACGCCCAAGGCAAGTGCCTCACTCACTCAGCTCCCAGAGGTCCCAGCACCCCTGAGCCCCAGCACCCTTGAGCCCCAGCATCCCTGAGCCCCAGCATCCCTGAGTGAGCCCCAGCATCCCTGAGCCCCAGCATCCCTGAGTGAGCCCCAGCATGCCCACCTGGCTCCCTCCTCCCTCCTGTGCCTGAGATGGCCCTCACCTGCCCTGCCCTTCTCCAGGGTCCTAAGGGAGGAGTGGCTCCAGAGGCATATAGCTTCAAGGGCTAGGCGAAGAGGACTGTCTATATCTGTTTAATACTTTCAAGGTATCAACATCATTACACCACTCAGTAAAAAGTTACTAAGCACTAAACTGTGCTGAGTTCCCGGCACTGAGGACCCAGTGGTGACCGAAGCAGAGGCCCTGTTATGAGGAGTCAGACAATAAATGAGAGAAATGATAGCAAGCGAGCAGGATGAGGGGTTAGATTAAGGAGGTGGTCACAGGAGGCCTCCCCAAAGGGGGAGCAGTGGAACAGGAGCAGGTCATTCCCCCTTCCTGATAATCAGAGGATTTTATTTTATTTTTTAAAGAGAGAGGAAGGAAGAAGGAGAGACAAACATCGATGTGAGAGTGGAACAAGTATCGGCTGCCTCCTGCATGGCCCCCCCCCCCAGAGATCAAGCTCACATCACGGGCCTGTGCCCTAATCAGGAATTGAACCGGCAACCTTTTGGTGGATGGGCCGATGCTCAACCAACTGAGCCAGTCACCAGAACAATCAGAGGATTTAAAACCACATACATCAGAGCTGGGGCCCAGAGCCCTTGAGGG